TTTGCGAATAGACCCCTCCACAATTTTATAGGTAGCAGCTCAAGGAAATAAACACCATCAATATACCGCTCGCCATTTACCATCTAACTAATTAAATAGAGTACTTGAGGCGTTTTGCTACGGCCCTATATTCGTGCTTCAAATAGTTTTTGAGTGAATAATATGTGAAAGCATGTCATAAAAACAGATTACCTAGAAAGTTTCAACTTTGAAGGCTGGATAACGCAAAAAACGGGACAACTATTGACAACTATTTTGTGTTTCAATGGTCCTTTGGGATCCCCCAAACTCCATACACTAAATTATTCTAAGATTTGGAGCCGAAATCTATGAAAAAAGTCACTCAGAAAAATTAAAAAATTGATAAATCACCCCAAATTGCTTAACACGATTTTATCTCAGGAACTATAGGTGCAAATGAGCTGAAATTTTCAGGGATTGTAGTTAGTGGAGTAAAAACACAGGAAAAAGTCGCTTCCTTCTCGATTTTTTTTTCTTTGAAGGTCTAACTAGATGAAACCTATAAAGGATGATCGGTTATGCTCTTGTGCATCTAAAATGGCTAATTACGACTTTTTCCGCGGAGGCAGACATTTTTTATATCAAAAAATGTGACAAATATGTCAAAATGTTATTTTCGTGTTTTTTTAAACCCACCACGCGATAACTCCGGAACTAATAAACCTATCAACATATATTTTTTTTTAATCAGTAGAGGACATATGAGCGGTGATAGCTGTGCTAGTTTAAATCCCATAGTGACTCAATTTTTTTTTGGAAACTGGATTGAACTTCAAATCGTACTTTAAGTGCAGCATGTTTTTCGGTAAGCGAGAAACTTTTTTATTTGAACGAATTTTGTCATAGTATCTGCGTATGATATGACGACAAAGTATCAAAAAAGTTTTTGAAAAAAAAATCAACCATCTGGAACAAATAGTTTTCTAGTTATCCTTGATTGAAGTTATGAATATCCAGAGCGCGCGATGTACCTGCTTGTCGGCGACGCCGACGGCACTGGCGGACGTGGAGATTTTACTGCGGATTTGAAAGTTGGTGCTCGAAAGGTTCCAAAATTTAAAGAATTTATTAAATCTTGTTCAAATAAAACGGCATTAGTAAATTATTCAACCAAATATTTCTTGGAAAAGGGGCCTTCTATACTTAGCAAGGAGAAAAAAATAATAATAGCAGGATTCAAGAATGCCGAAAGTTGCTTTCTGCTGACTAAAAACGGTAAACCATAAAATTTAAAAAATTTAATAGCAACCAAGAAGAAGCTGATACGAGGATAATTCTTCACTTATCAAATGATCTTTTGACTTGCAATTCCATTCTAGTAAAATCTATTATGCTTATATCTCTGTAATCGTAATCACTTGTCCTTTTAATTTTTCTATTTTTGTTTGTATTGTAATTTTGTTATGTGCAAACGAGTGTTCCATCCTGAAAATCTCGCACTATTTTTTATAATTCTGGCCATATAATTTTATAAGTACAAGGTATGTAAACTTCATTTTTTTGTTAGCCCTTTTTTGATGTTCCTAATATATATTTTAGCTCTGATGAAGTCCTGAACTTTTGGGCGAATTTTGGCAAATAATTAACAGGCCTTTTATTTTTTGTCCTAACCGGCGAATCACTCCTTTTCATTGGATACTGATAGGAACGAACTACTCTTAATAATAATAAGTAAAAAATTATTAGCTGTTCATTGTCTTACTGGTTGCGATACAACACTATCTATATTTATGTAACAAGCTGTAAAATGAGCATGTTTTTTGCACTAAATGTAGAGATGCTTTTTTTAAATTGAATAAAGCTTCCTTTTTGTATTGATTCTTGAAATAATAAGATTGATTTCAATCAATGAGGTTCTTGTTATTTAAGTCTAAGTTGATATTAAATGGCGTGGGAATGTAGCAAACCCATCGCCTACGATTCCAAAGTTCTTCGGCGATCGGCAAGTTGTGACGGGATCAGGCTAATGAAGTCTGGAAGCACTTTAGTGTCCTTAGTGACAAAGCAGCACGGAGGCGGCGAATAGCGTGATCGCCGTTCTCGTGATTGAGCAACGCTATTCAGGATCCGCACTGTTCACCCTGATAGGAAGGGGCTATAAAAGGTGCCCTAAATATAGCCAGCCCTTTCAGTACGGCCGGTTTTCCGAATATTTGTGCCCCACAGACGGAGTCTTTGACCGTGCGCACGGACGGGTGTCGACTATATGCGACATTACAATATTACGTAGTACTTCAGCGTTAGATAATCCGCAATTGCTATCGTAACTTGTTTTTTGTTTTTTTTGCTTTTGGAACGATCCTTGAGGGACCAGGTACATTCTCTCCCGACATCTTGAGCCTTACTGGCGCAAAAATACAAACGGATGTCGCATATGATCGACAGTGTCGAGTATATGTGGCAGTCGCCCTGGACTTGCAAGGTGGCCGGATGTCGCATATGATCGACGGTGTCGACTATATGTGGCAGCCGCCTGAGCGTTTAGCATGCGGTGGACGCAAATGTAGCGACAGCAGTCTGTACGCCAAATCTAAAAATTGAATGGGTCGCACGCCAACCGACAGTCGTCCAGGAGACAGAATACATGCCGTCGACCATATGCGACAGCCGTCTGTGTGGCACGTTTCCTCGGTGTCGCATAGGCTGCGTCAGCCGTACTGAAAGGGTTAACTACTGCCCGACTGGATAACCGCGTCCAGAGGGTGCACCCCATGCGGACCAAACAAAACAATTTAACAAAGCAAAATCAATCAGTCTTCTGTCTTCACTTTCTGAAGTTCTTGAGAAAATAATTCAGGAAAAGCTCAAATCCTTACATTATCTTGATAGCATTCTACGTGATGAACAATTTTGATTTCGTTCATATCACTCTACTTAGATTCAGCTTGCCAGGTTGGTTGAAGAAGCCAGCAGTTTCCATGTCAAACTCAACAAAAATACCTTCTCAAATGTCAGACCTATAGAAAAAGGAGTTCCTCAAGGTTCTGTCCTGGCTCCACTTCTCTATAATATTTACACGGCTGACATCCTCAATAATCCTCATACTAAAATGTCCATCTACGCAGATGACACTTGTATTTACCCCGGTATTTACACTTCACAAAAATACTCACATCACATACATAGACGACTACAAGCAAAATCAAAATATCTGTATCCACAGATTTTACTAGAATGGAATTGCAAGTCGAAAGATCATTTGAAAACTGAAGAATTATCCTCGTATCAGCTTCTTCTTGGTTGCTATTTAATTTTTTAAATTTTGTGGTTTACCGTTTTTGGTCAGCAGAAAGCAACTTTCGACATTCTTGAATCCTGCTATTATTACTTTTTTCTCATTGCTAAGTATAGAAGGCCCCTTTTCCCAGAAATAGTTGGTTGAATAATTTAAATGCCGTTTTATTTGAAGAAGATTTAATAAATTCTTTAAATTTTGGAACCTTTCGAGCACCAACTTTTAAATCCTCAGTAAAATCTCCACGTCCGCCAGTGCCGTCGGCGTCGCCGACAAGCAGGTACATCGCGCGCTCTGGATATTCATAACTTTAATCAAGGATAACTAGAAAACTATTTGTTCCAGATGGTTGATTTTTATTTTAAAAACTTTTTTGATACTTTGTCGTCATATCATAAACAGATACTATGACAAAATTCGTTCAAATAAAAAAGTTTCTCGCTTACCGAAAAACATGCTGCACTTAAAGTACAATTTGAAGTTCAATCTAGTTTCCAAAAAAAAATTGAGTCACTATGGGATTTAAACTAGCACAGTTATCACCGCTCATATGTCCTCTACTGTTTTAAAAAAAATATATGATGATAGGTTTATTAGTTCCGGAGTTATCGCGTGGTGGGTTTAAAAAAACACGAAAATAACATTTTGACATATTTGTCACATTTTTTGAGATAAAAAATGTCTGCCCCCGCGAAAAAAGTCGTAATTAGCCATTTTAGTTGCACAAGAGCATAACCGATCATCCTGTATAGGTTTCATGTGGTTAGACCTTCAAAAAAAAAAATGAAACATTTTTATATCGTTTTTACTCCACTAAAATCTAAATCATATATGAGGCCAAATGATTTCTATACATTTTGGATGGAATTATTCCGACATTATAATGATCTATACAATCGATGATTTTCAGAATCTCTTTGTTATTCGTGTATAAACCTGAATATGAATAGAATAATAATAAGGAAAAAGAACAAAATTATGAAAATCGTGGAAGTCCAGGATAAAAATCTCATAACTGCATAGAAATTCTACAGAGGGGAATCCTACTCCTGTTTATGAAACTAACATGAATGTTGGATCTGAAAAATTTCCAGAGGTAATAGGATTTGTTTCAGATGTAAGACAGAAAAGGTCTGGGGGAGAGAGGAAGAACTGCAAAAGATGTTAGTGGAACTGAAGCCTAATTAGGGGTTTCTATGTATTATAGGCAAAAACAAAAATTATCCTAAGAAGATGTGACGTGATTCGTCTGGTTTTGGTTGGTGTGATTATAGAACATTCTGGAAACCTAAGAACAGATCTGAGGAATTCTAAAATCCTTTCAAACCTGATAAGCAATATGTGTAACACGTGTATCTTTTCTGTAGTGACTTATGCCATGAAAACTCCTACATTCACAATGAGATCAGAAAGGTTGGAAGACGTAAAGGAAAAGGCAAGAAGAGGCTGGCCGTGACGTTTGTCCAGAAATCGACCATCAAAAGATAACGTCAGAGAATCTTGATAAACAAGTACGCATTTGTTGGAAACTAAAATTATCAAATATTCAGATGTATCATTTGAACAATACCAAGAAACCTACGAGTGTTTTTAATCGCCCCCTTGTTTATTCGTTTACCCTTCGCCCACACACACAATATAGTAGTCGCTTGATATCGAAAATTGTTACTGCCCCCGTATTCCGGATAAAGCGCATGGCCTCTTATATCAGCACCATACTAACGCGTGTTCCAGTTTAGTCAATGAAAAGCCGTCTTCACAGGATAGTCGGGAAAACGAGAGCTTTTCCCAGTGACGTCACTGGCACCGGCCAATGGCATGCCGCGTACCTTATTGATCAGTCGTTGTGAAAATGGCAGAGCACTGAAAACAACATATGGAATAAGAAAAGTTCGTTCAAATATGAAATTTTCATTTATAATAGGCGCTGTCACGGTTTTTCTTTGGTGCGGAATCGCTATCGCCGACTCGAGAATACTGAACGGTAAGTGATTATATTTATTTGCTTTTCAAATTTCAGTTGATAAACTTTTCAGGCCGCGCCAAAAATTTTAATTAGCTACCTGTTTATTTATTTATTTATTATTTTCTAGCTCTAATTTAAATTAACAAAAAAATTTGGTTCGTATAAGGGGGGTGGGTGCGTTGCGGTCGAGTTCCATATTCCCTGCCCACGCGAAAATCTCTGCCTGGAGCGGCTCTGCATGGGCATCTGGATTCGAATAAATCTGCATTATTGTATGCATTCCAGATTCTTTGTTCTATTAAATAGCAATTTACATAACTAGCATATTATGCAATGGAAAAAATCCAACAAAGTTTGTTTGAGCTTTTAGAAAATAAGTGGTACTTAGTTTTAACGAGTTTCCTTTGTCAGCGCTTTTACCTCTTTAATCTCTTTTACTTTGTGCACTTATTAGGTTTCGGCTTTTAGTTTCACACAAACATTTTGGATTCGGTAAATCTAAAGGCTTTAGTGTGTTTTCAACAGATTTAAGTAGGTACTTATTATTTCGAGTATTTATTGATTGATTTGGTGTAAAGTAGAAAAACTTCGGAATGAAAAGTCCTCAATTATTCTGTTTTGAAGTGAGACTGTCCTTAATTGAGCCATAATGATCTGCTCTATCTTCCCTGAACTTTCTTGGGATCTTACACCAATGTCTTATGAATGTCCAGTACTTTGATAATGCATTTTTGGTATATGTATTAGGTTGGTCATCCCACAAATGTCGCAACATTTTGATAAGATCCTGCTGGAATATTCAGCAGAAAATCCAAATTTATATATCCTAAAATGCCTTCTGTGTCTTGTCTTTTCTAAATCCGTCCATTATTCTTGATCATCTTTCTTCAGCTTGATTTCCGCTTCTTCCCTGGTAGGGATAATCTCTGCGACAACCTGAGAATATCCTGAAGATTTTATTTAGCAATTAGTTTTCAAGACATCCTCAAATGATGTCCTATATATTATTCTAATCCTAGAGATAAGTATCCTTTAGTATCCTTTGAAATCCTATATACATACGTCCAGTAAGACCTTTTTGGGACATCCTGCAATATGTTTCAGGGACACCTTACAAGATTTTTCAAGAACGTTTCCTGTAAATTGCTATTTTTTTTTTCCGATTATCTTCAAAATAAAACTACACACTTATCCCATATGGCCGACAATGTTATAAAAATCTGCAACATCAGGCAATAATTCTCAAGTTCCAAGTAAAACTATCTTTATTACCTATATCTCATGACCTGATATGTTTTCAAATAAATTCGAAAACAATTTTTGGAATTATTCAAAACATGGTTAATGGATTTCCATTGAAATATATTTCAAAATATTTACTCAAATTAGTTGAATGGGAGAATTATCGGGCATAGAAGCAACAGATGAGAAAAGCGGCCGTAATGGATAATAGCGTTATAATAGCTTTCCATGCTTGGATAAGCTTTTATAGGCCGAATTAATGATAATAAATGGTCGCCTATAATACGAATGTGCTTTTGTAGAAAATGTAAAGAAAACAGAGCCTCGAATTTAGGAAACCTACCTTAGAAAATCATAAAATTCCTGTAGAATCATCTTTGAAGGTTCCTGAAAAATACTTTGAGCCATCTCAGCAATTAAAAACTTTCAGGATTTATTAATAAGAGTTTTTTCATGATACAAAACAAATTGGAAGTTGATATTGTCACAGCATCTCTGTGACGGAGGGTGTAGGGTGGATAGATGGAGAGAAACTTGCTGTTTTTATATAAAAATATGTATATTTGCTAAGAGGTCATTACGTCATGAATCCTTGATACATGTTCTTCTATGGGAAGAGCCACACGTCTGACGCTACTTAGGAAGGAATGTCTGATTCTAATGTTACGTAGAATGTTCGTCGTCGTTTAACTGATCCTTATATCTAGAGGGGCTTTTCCAGGGTGGCGGTACTTGCACTGGTTCAAGTCTGCCTGTTGCTCGGCTTGGCCCACTATTTATATAATGTTATTGCTGAATTGCAATAAACATCCGATCGAATGGGCAATTAAATTATTAAGGTTGAATACCGGGTCCTCCTTTCCTAAGTAGCTATTTGACATGCTTCCCCTCCATGAAGCATTGGACCCCAATGCTTGGAAAAGACATACCTAACAAAAAATACATAAAAATACCATAATAATGTTATAAATTACAATAATATCCTAATCCTAGAATATCCCTTTTTTACAATAATATCCTGATTATAAAATATCCCGGCTTAACAATTATATAATCCATCAAATAAATATCGAGTATAGTGAAAAAAAAAAAAAATAATTTTAAAATTAACAAAAGTTTGTTATGGTGGGATGGACCAGGGTGCATTATTATTCAGGTTACTACAAAAAAATATCTTATAACTAAGAAATTTCATCAACTTTACAGCTTCAGCCATGGGTTTTTTTTTTCTCTTCTTGGTCCGGTCCTGTTTTCTGTATTGTGGGTCTTTTCTGGTTCCAAGTACTTCTTGGTGGGTTAGCTAGATCGTGGGGTGTAAACCTTAGGTGTAAACGGTCCCACGGTCTAAGTGTTGTTGCCTGGTTCCTGGTTTGTTATGCTTCTTGTTTATTGTTCTGTATTCTGTCTTAAGCGGATTGGTTCTGGCTCCAAGTAGGTATTTCATGGTGATTTGGTCATCTGGGTCGTGGGTTTGCGCGCTCCCACGGCCCAAGTAATCCCTGGCCCATTTGAACCCTATGTTCTTCTTTGTAACCTCATGTTGCTATCGATGCAAAGTTATGTATAAATTTTCCATAAAAATTACATAATCCTATAGAAAGCTCTGTACATCCTTAGTTTTCTTTGGCGTCGGGAACCCTTTTATGCAAATTATTTTTTCTACATCTGGTAATATGCCTTGCTCCTTTACTTTGAATTCTAGTATTTTGATTTCTTTTTTCAAATATTTGCATTTGCTTGGTTTTACGAAACTTTCTTTAGTTTGCTCAAGTGTTCTTCGAATGTTTGTGAGAATATGATGATTTCATATTCCAAAAAACTTGGTCTGCTAGTTCTTGGAAAGTGGATGGAGCGTTGCATAATCCAAAACTTAAAACATTAAATTCGTAAGTCCCACGTCCTTGCGCCACGAAGGCAGTGTATTGCTTGGACTTCTCTTCGACTGGAACTTGCCAATATCCGGGAAACATATCGAGTGTGCTGAACCATTTTGCATTGCCCAAGTATGACAAAATGTCATCGATCTGCGGTAGTGGGCATGTTGATTTTTTTGTTACTGTGTTAACCTTTCTTTAATCCACACAAAATCTTGTTTTTCCATCTTTTTTCTTAACTAGCACTACAGGGCTAGCCCATGGAGAGTGGCAAGGCCGAATTACTTCGCTATCGAGCATTTCCTGGATTTGTTCGTCAATAATCTGTCTTTCTTTTTCTGAAACTCTGTATGGGCGGCTCTTTATTGGGCGAGCCTTTACGACGTCTATTATGTGTTCTGTTAAGTTTGTCTTTACAATATGTTTTGTAGATTTCGAGAAATCGTCGTTGTATTCCAGAAGGAGTTTTTTGAGTTCATGCCTGTTCTTCTCGTTTGTGATGCTGCCTAACTTATGATCTTCCATTGTTATTTCTTCGCTCTCTTCGTCTTTTTCTGCTTGCAACATGAAATTGTGTGAAAGATTTATCTCTGTTGTTTCTGCCAAAAATGCCATTGTGATTCCGGCGTATATAGCTACTGGGTTCCTTTTGTTTGATTGTACTTTTAAAATGAGGCTACCTTCATTGGTGTGAACGTGCGTTTTTAGTTCAAGATTATTTTTTGCTAACCAGTCTAAATTATAATTGCATGTATACGTAGTATTATCTTTAGACTCACTAGGTTTGCCCATAATATCTAATTCTAGTGTTTATAACTCATTCTGAGACACCGTGTAATCTTTTGCTTTTTCTAATCCCCATCCTTGTCTTGAGATGAATAATTTTTTGATCGATTTATTTTTTGAGATATTGTTCCTCAGTGCTGTAAGACATTTATACATGTTTCTTGAACTCTTCTCCTTATTGATTCTCTTGTGAATAGAAGAATGACTGATTTTTTTCCTTGTTTTGACATAACCTAAACCAATGAGTCTAAACTTTTATCTGGTGTCCCCCTGGAGTGACTAGAACCGTGTCGTCATTTCTTGTTAGTTCCTCTCTGATAAGACTTCTTTGTAGAACGCTATCTTGTGTTCCTGTATCCACAATTGCTGACATGTACTTATTATTTAATTTAATTGTTATGTGCAAGATTCCTATGTTATTGTTCTTTGTTAAGAATACATTCAAGTTTACTACTTATTAAACGTTTATTTTATCAAAACAAATCTATAGGTGTTTCCTTTTCAACAAAATCGAAACAACAACTTTTTCTGCAACTTTCTTAACCTAAGATATTTTACTGTCGCCAACTCTATAAACAAAATGAAAACATGATTCTTCTTTTTCTTTTAAACTTGCAAAATAAAACATAATTTCAACACTCCCACATTTTGAAAGTTTAAAAGCTTACCCAATGAATGCTAAATCAAAAACAAATACAAAATAACATTGAGAAAAGTAAAACATTAAATAAATGATAATACTATTCTAACAATAAAGAGAACATCAATCCATATTACTATAGTAAAAATAAAGACTTAAATATTGTCCACTGATTTTAATTCCAGCATTTGCCGCAAATACCAAAATGTAGGTCTCGCGAGTGCTTTAGTTAAAATATCCGCTTCTTGAAGTTTGGTTGATATATAAATTGGTTCAATTTCCCTCTTTTGATATTTTTCTCTAATAAAGTGAAATTGAACATCAATATGTTTAGTTCTGTTATGGAACTCTGGATTATGAATTAACTTAATTGCACTTTGATTATCTATGTAAATTGGACTACTCACGTCTTCACCAACGTTCTCCAAAAGTTGTCTCAGCCAGATTGCTTCTTTAGTAGCTTAGCAGGCTGCTAC